AGAGAGAGAGAGAGAGAGAGAGGAAAATGGATACAATCTCTTTAAAACCTAAGGTGCTGTATTCTTTTCCATATCTAAAGCCCATCCTGAGCCACATTTCTGTAGCTTGCAGACTGGCCATTCCAGGAGCCTCAGACCCACCCTTTTCTTCCTTGACAAAGGTACAAAATGTACTTCCATTCATTCATTTCTGCTCTCGTTCCTTCTTCCAGAATCTATAATACAGATTCTATATCATCTGTGAAAATTGGTGAGTACATTTCTGGAATGTCTACATCATTCTTCTTTTTTAAAATCTTTCCTCACAGACCAAGTCGGTGAAGCAAATATTGTCACGACACAATTGAATCCTGTTGTTTTATTAGGGAAGAGTTTGCATTTTCTGTGACTAAAGCCAATGTTTCACTGGTGTCCTCAATGGAAAATTCTTACCTTCCCTTCCCTCTGTGTTGCCCTCTGTACCACCTGAAAGTGGGCTCCAGAAGCTTTCCTGGCTGTTCAGATAAAGTTTTGGGGATTCTCAGGGTCTACCATGGGGGGGGGGAGCAGAGCCTCCACATGCTTCAGGATTTTGGGATTCTGCCACAGACGTCCATCACCAAATTAGGCCTTTCAGGTTTACTCCTCACCAGTGAAGCTATTAATATACCTCATCAGGCTCACTCAACTCTTCCCCCCACCATAGCAACACACTTGCTGGATCTTTTGCCCTCTATAAAGAGGGTGAGACTACATTATCCGTAATGTTTTGAATGTTTTGTGTTAATGTATTTTTATGCTTTGATGGTATTATTAATTCACATTTTTATTATTTTTATTCTTTGTTCTGTTGATTGCATTTTAGTCATGTGCTTCTATATGTTGTAAAATAAAATGAAATGAAATGAATGAATCTGTTTTAATTTCCCTGTTTGTTATGTATTAATTTATTTTTATCGTCTTTCTAATATTATGCCTTATATTGTTGTTAGCCGCCCAGAGTGGCCTGGGTGCCAGATGGTGCGGGATATAAATTCAAATAATGGATGGATGGATGGATGGATGGATGGATGGATGGATGGATGGATGGATGGAT